GCAGCTGAATTCACTGAATGTTCTTAAACCAAATAGATGGAATTTTTTAAGATATGAACTTAAATAAAAGCCCAACAAAAATCAATCCAAAAAAAACCCCCCAAAAAACCCCAAAGCCAAACCCCAAACTCAACCCCAAACAGTTAATTTCACACATGCCAAAACATAATAAAAGATAGATTTTTAAAACCTTTAATTTCAAAACATCATTCTTTAAAAATAGAACTTAATCCCCCCAAAAAAAATTTAAATAACCTTATACAAACATGTTTTGTGTTGCCCTCAATTTTGGATTGACCATAGGCATTCTGTTTATTCATTTAACTCAAAATGCTGAATAAAAGCTATTTCAGTTTGACCTATGTTGATACCCTTCATTTCCCAACCCCAAGGCCTCAATCTGGCAGCTTCGAGAAAGTCATTACTTGTCTGGTCTCTGGCTTCATACACTCATTAAGTCATGAGGTTTTGACATCGGTTCATGAATGCAGCATTATGTGTAGTCCCATTTACTTAAAATTTCTTCTTTTCAAGAGCAAATGGAAGTGGGCAGTTAAGGGAAATTATTTTTATTGGACAGACTTCACCCAGTAGCTCAAGAGAGAGGAAATTTTAAAGCAGATAAGACTGCCAAATATTATTCAGTCATACTTCATCTCTAAAATTTACAAACTTTGCTCCCCACAAGTAACAACTTCAACAACAACAAAAAGAAACTGCTGTCCTGAATAATCCTGCCATTTCACAACTAGCTCTAGATACCCAAAGAGCACTGCAGAGGTCAAAAGTCCAGTGTTAAGTTTCATATGTACTTAATGGTACATCACTGGGCCACTGGAACACCACACCAGTGCTCAGTATCTGCACAAAGCCAAAATTCTGCTGCGTACTTTTAAACCCTTGTAAATACAGAACTTCATAATGTGTGATATTTTATATTGAAGGCCTTAGATAAAAGTCAAACAAAAAAATTCCCAGCAACAAGAAATTCTGTCATCACTAATTTCTATATCTCTGCAAAGGCAAAATCAAGTCACTATGTTTACCTTTACCCATTAAGTCAAATATGCCTTTTCATTTTTTCTTGGTAGCTCAATGAGTCATTTTAAATTGTCTGGGTCTTTTCCACATTTGTATGGACACGGAAACAAAAAAGGCAACAGAGAAATTGAATTGTCCTTGTGCTGTGACCACACAGAAGCAGAAAAGCCTCCTTTTTTGAATGGCTGAACTTCCAGGACAGCTGTTCACTTGTACAGTCACTTTTTTTGAAAACTATTGCAAAGGAGGGAACACTAAGTACAAAGTGGGTAGTGCCTCTGATTGCCCAATGCTGGCTGGGCAGGAATTTCTCATGCTTTCAGCCAAAGCAAAGGGTGAACTCCACAGCAGCCCATCCTAAGCCTAAACTCATCTACGCATGCCCCGATTCTCTGCCACGCTGGCTGGCATGGGTAAGTATCATCTCTACTTGGTATTTTCTAACTACACAGCTAAAGTACTACTAATTTAACACATGCACGATACTAGGTATAGGAAATCCCAAGCTCCTGAAGAGTTCTTATGCTTCCATGTAGGGCTTCACTGAGATCAGCACTGATGATGTGCATGTGTATCTAGGAGGAGTATAAGACGGATGCTGCTTCCCCAAGGGCAGGGTCCCTTCTTGGGCTCCCAAACACAGAGGTGGAGCAAGGCTGCTGCTGTCACCCTCAGGAGGTACAGCCCTCACCCTCCATGTGACCAGTATATTCTCCCTGTTGGCATGAGGTACCAGCCTGCAGACACACCTTCCTGTTGCTCCCTGCTGCAGTCACCACTCTCCCTTTGGGCACATTTAAGGTTGTATGGGCACATTTAAGTTGTGCCCTGCTGTCACACAGAGTAGGGTTGCTCTAGCCCTGATGTGAACACCAATGTAATTCCCATGGGAAATAAGACACCATCTCTCAACTGACTGTCACAGCACTGGAACAGAGCCCTGCAGAGCCACAGAGCATTTCACCTGGGCTCACCCTTTGACTCTTTTTGTCTTTGGCAATAGACCATAATGTTCGGGATCCTATGTGCACAGGTTAAAGGCAAAGGAAAGAGCCTCTCCAACAGCAGCCCTGGTAAAGAGGAGTGAACACACCTAGTGTATAAAAAAGTTTGTTTGGGGGCTACTGTGAATTCCAGCAGTAACCACAGTTTGGCTCTTCAGCCTGCACCAATTTAGCAGCATTCGTCTCAAAACTTGTGGCACAGCATTAAAGAACAGCTTTAGAAGTGCAATTCCAAATACATGTTTTCTGAGGTGGTACCGCTTTTGAGTTCAATCCAGTACATCTCTGTATCTCCTGCCCAAATTCTTAAATCCAGCACAAACTCCAGAGGCTACTTAGGGCAAATTCAATGTGCTTTCAACTGTACCAAAAGAACAGAGGGCTGGATGCTGCCAAGAAAGATCCCAGACTTTAAAAGAATGATTTATCAGAATAACAATACACATTCAATAAATAAACCAATTCTTTCCTCCTCTAAGCCAGGTGGAAGTTTAGTATGTTTATACTTGACACTACAGCCCCTTCACTTCCTAGAGAATGGAATAACTGCTGTAAAATCCTGAATATATGCAGCTACTGCCACCATTTCAGTTAGGTAACAACTTCACCTAAATCTAGCGTAAGATCTCTGTTGCCATCAGAAGAAGAGGTCCCACCCTGCCCCTGCTCATTCTGGCTGTCTCTCTGGGGCCAGCACTGCAGTCACACAATGAGCTGTACAGGGTTCAACCCACTTGCAAGCCAGTACTAAAACCAGCATCAGATGGCTGGGTACCCAAAGCATTAGATTTTTTTTCTGCTAAGCAGCACTAGCTGCATCACTAAGTCTGCACAGAGGTGGATGATGCCTGTCAACTAAACCTTTGGATCTGGGACAGAAAGTTTTGAGCTCAGTAGTTATATCCCTATACATTATGTCTCACCTGAGGACTGTTCATTGCAGGTGCTGCTTCCAACTGGCATCACAAAACTCAGAAAGACAGAGAAAAGAAGAAAACATAGATAGGAGAAATGGTCAACATTTGTAAACCAAAATGAAGTGCAAAGACACATGAACAGCAATTCCAGAACAGTGGCTAAACCACCGAGAAGCAAGATTCACAAATGTTTTGGTCCATGTTTCGTTCCACTTTTGAATGATGTTTAACTGTACATGGTTAATTATCCACCAGACTTGCATTCATGACTTGAACTAGACCACTATGTTCAGTACATGGCTTTAGCTTTACTTTATGAAAACACTCTTGATCCCCTTGGGTCTAATTCCATTTTTCAGGAGAGAGATAGGTGATTTCTTGGTCAAATTCTCTCTTCTTGTTACTCTTTGTACTTTTGAGGGAAGGAACTGGATAGCATGGTATACCATGACAATTACAATGGGAAATTCCTCTTGGCACAGATAGTACCTCAGGAACTCTCAAAGAAATCCATTTTTACGAAAAACAACCAAACTTGTCAAGAACTGCTTTCAAGAAGGAAAAATGAAAGCTTGCCTGAGGTCTTAGCAGAAACAGTCAGGCCCAGAGAGAGTTGCTGAAACCGGCAGAACAACATGGATAGAAACAATTGTCCCTTAGGGTGTGGTTTTGCAGTATTACATTATTCCTTCATCAGTCACACTGTTACACTTTGGGGACTATTTAATGAAAGGTCACACATACACTCTTGAAAAATTAATCACACATGAGTAATTTCACGCTGGGAGTCACCTAAAAATTTAGAAGCCAAAATTCTATGCAAAGGAGGAGGACGGGCATTTCCAATGGACACTTCCTTCTATATTAATCTTAGGATGAACTGAGTCAGCCTTTGGAGAGCTCTCTCTGTACTGACCACTGTGCCCTTGCTGATGAGGGCAAGACACATGACTTTCTGCTGGTTAAAGTCAGATGAGATAAACCACACTATTGATGCCCTTCCTTTTCAAAACCACGAAGCTCTAAAACTGGGCATAGGACAGGCAAGAGCATAGAGCAATCAGAGTCATTTGTAGGAAAAACCCTAGAGAAGTCCTTAGTGCTCATAAAAACAGCAAAACTGTAAGTGGTTTTAAAAAATCTAAATTACTCTGACAGTTCTCCTTCTAACCTATAAGGGCCACACTAATGGGATGGCCTTGAGAAAGAGGGGTCATATTTTCTCTTTTCGTTTACTGTTCATCCAAATGCTTTCTTCTTTCCCCTCATCAAAGTTAACAAAACAAACCCTGAAAAGGTTTTTCTCAAGTTTAATATAATTTAGTGCTATATGCTTGTGTTCTACTTTTTTTACTGTCTGAAGACCTAGCACTGTAAACACATCAGCAGTGGAGCAGCTTTATGCAGAAAAACAGTATCCCTGTTTAGTGGGATAATTTATGTGCCTTTCACTATATTCATTCAAGAAGATATTCTCAAAAGAATATATTATTTCAAGACTGCAACTAAAATATTAAAAAGAAGAACAGGACAAACATACCAAAAGAGTTTGTTCACCCCTGCACTGATGACAGGGAATGATTACTACAGTACCAGTAGTTGGCCACTTTAAGGAGATGAGGAGAGTGGGAGTCCTATGTCAATTTTTTTCCTTGGAAATGGACGGGAAATTTTCTCATCCCTGTTGTTTTTCAGTCACAATCAGCACTTGATGGAGGTGAGAGCTTCTGGGTTGAGGGATGTGAAATTATTTGGTGTGCATCTCTCAAGTGTGAGTTCACAAAGGTTTAAAAGAACACAGCTCATCTAAACATTGTATGGTTTCGGGTTGTGTTTCTATTGTTTTCCACCTAGAACCAAAATGCATGATGAATTCACTCAAAAGTCAGTCCCAGACACAGGAAACCTTCGTAAGACTAGCCTGAGTTTGGCTGTGTAATAAAACGCACTATCACTACTGTGTCATGCCACTTGTCATCTGTTAAAGGTTTTCCACAACCCATTCAATCAGCAAATATGTAATACTGAAGCTTACAGGGAGCTCATAGAAGACCCTCCCTCCCTCCCCAAATACTGGGGCATATGCACTGTGGTTGAGGACTGCTTTGTTTTAAAAGCCACACACTTTCCTACTTAATTGTGCTTTAAAAAAAATCAAACCAAACAAAAAACAACTAGCTAAACCAACAGAGAGAAGCTCCTAACAGGTTGTATGAAAAGTGAGCTGCCAAGATTTTCCCTGTCACGCAACACTTTCACACCAAGTCCTGTTATTCTGTGTGTTGGTTAGAGGTGTAGTACTACAGCATGGTGGTGTCAGCTGTCATGGTAGGAACCATTCATGTCAGACACTACAGAAAATTTAACGACATGACAGTACCTTCACAGCCCTCTGGTAGGTAAGGAAAATCTAAAAGGATCTTCCCAACCTTTCACAGTAAACACAATTGGATAATCTAAAGCACCTGCAAGCAGGAGATGAGTCCGTGATATATCTTTCCAATCACCCAGCTAATACTGTTATTAAAACAGTTAAGTTATATCAGCTCTTACGTCTCCTATCTGTCTTGGGCATTTTGAAGGACCATATCGCTTTGCCATTTAGCTGCCAACAGATTTAATTGATCCAGACACTGTATTTCCTTCTCTTCAGCTGTTTCTAAGACACCCAAGCCCTTCACAGGGGCTGAATTACCATCTCCTTCGAGAGCTGTCTGGTTCCTATTCTTTCCTAGGAGCCAAGAGGAGCTAGCAGTACAGAGACATCCTGCTCTTCCGCATGGCTTCGCTGATTAAGTATGCTGGGCTCAGTTCCGGCTCCTCAGTCATGATTGAAATGTTCTGCCACTCCCCCAACTGGTTTGACTTTTTAATGGTGTCCACCACACACAGGGCATACAGGCAGTCATCAAAAGTGGCAGCCATCGTAAGGGGCCTCCCGTCCCAGGTCCTCCTGTCGTCCTGGTCCTCAAATGCTTGCCGGACAGCTTGGACCATCTTAATGGTGCCCCGGAGGTAGGGCGATGGGATGTCGCTGAAGGCTTTCTCTGGAAGTAAGGAGTTGCTGACTGGCGTGGAGTCCTTTAGCAGGAGCTCCCGCTGAGGAGAGCTGTTGCTCTGTCCGTAGAGGTCAGTGCCTATTACAATCAGCCGTCCTGCCGAACCCACCACAATAATGTCTTGTTTGAACTCCCCCGGGATGTTGAAGTTGAGCGTCACCGTGCAGCACACGCCTCCTTCCAGGACCATCTGAAAGGTACAGAAGTCATCGCTGGTGATCTGCCGTATCCCCTTGATGTGGTCCGTCTGCTTCACGAACGTCTTGAGCAACCCGTGCACTTTCACGGCCTTCTGGCTGGTGAGGAAGGTCAGGAGGTCGATGATGTAGGTGCCAACCGAGTGCAAGCCCCCACCTCCCATCAGGTCATCACAGCTCCAGTTGTACTTCTTGCCTAGCAGGCTTCCGCTGTGAACCTGCACCTCGCACACCAGCAGCTCCCCTACGTAACCCTCCTGGATCAGCTGTTTCATCTTCACAAAAGCAGGCAGGAAGCGTAAAACGTTCCCCATGATGCTCATGAGCTTTGGGTAGTAATGAGCCGCAGTCATCATCCTAAAGGCATCCAGGGGAGTCGCCGTTCGGTCACAGATGACATTTTTTCCAATGCCTGAAAAACAGTTGGGAAAAAAAAATCATCAACAAAAATATACTGACTGAGTAAACTGAAAGCCTCGAGGCTATTCTTAAAGACTAAGCCAAGGAGAAAGATCCTTGAAAGAAGAAAACATTTCAATATGGTGTTAAAGGCACAAAGACCCATTCTGGCATGCTTCCAAAATGCATGTTAAGTGTTTCTTGAGCACCACAGTGAAAATGTATTCCGTTTTGTTTTCAAAATGCACTCATGTCTAAAAATAGCTCGAAGGCGAGGGCCTGGACAGATAAGAAAGTAAGGTACCTTCTGGGAGCAGGTATGAAACCAACCACCCCCCCTCAACCATCTCACAGACGTCTCTTCTGTGATAACCTGCCTGTGTGTGGGCTTCCGTCAGCTGAATCTGAGCTTCAGATTCAAATCCCTGAAGCGTATGAGTGACATATTCAGTAACTTAATGTAGGTACACTGAAAAGTCTGGCTTCATCTTCTCAACAGTCTTGTCCCTTCATCTCTCCTGCTCAGAGTGTTTTAAGGGGCTCTGAGGAGAGAAGGAGAGGTACTGGGCTTGCTGTTGGATTTAAAAAGTAGAAATTGCTTTTCACTCATAAAATGCCACGCTATTCTGACAATGGCACTCTGTTTTTTTGAAGCAGCTCTGCTGAAATGTCAGCAGCACATCCACTGTGCCAAGGGAGAGTCACGATTGCTCTAAAACAGGTCAAATGTAGCTGTGACAATCTGTTCCCTCATGGAATTGTCCATATGGACACATTGTTTACTGAAGCTTGTATGACAGTCCTCTTTTATCTGGTCATCAAGGTGTGCAACTAAATGCAGTGCAGGCTAAATAATGCATTTATTATTGATTTCTCCTCCTCAAATAGTTTCACTCTGTACCCATACACATATATAGTGATGAAATCTCCATTTTCCTTTTTAATTGCATACAAAGATTTTTTTACATTTAGTGAGCAACATTAGGCGAATTATGGAACACCTTAGAGCACCAAATATGATTTCTGCCTTGAGGACCTTTGGCTATAGCTGGGCCTGGCACTTAAAGGAGCTGAATTTGGATTCTCCCTGATGGAGTCCAGATGAATAAATCTGGCTACTTGCTAAATCACATTGTCTTTTCATTCCTCTTCCCTTCAGATAGGTAAAATATCCCTTTTGCTTTAAAGAGCCGTTGTGGGAATAAAACTGTACATGTTTTGGAGTTATTTGGATGAAGTCATATAAATACAGACAGATGGCATTGATCTATCTGAGCCCACTTACATGAATATTCAACAGTCTGACTGGAAGAAGAAGGGGGTCACAGTCCAAACATTCAATAACCAGCTTATCCACACTGCCTATTCCCAGTCTTTGTCTGCTGCTGTTTGAGTAGTTGAAACTGGAGGGAGGGCTGTCATCACTGAAGTGGCAGTCACATCTAGTTAACAGACAAGAAGGGAAAACCTTTCTGCAACTCGTTCCTACTCACCTTCTACTTAACCACGTAAGTAGAGACATACTCATTTTCCTCTTAAATTAGGCAAGAATCCTCTATTTAGTGACCATGGTCTTCTCTTCTTACTTTTCTCCCTCATCTTTACAGATGGCTATTGGTGACTGAGCTGACATCTTCAACCTAATAACACTTCTCTTCCTGCTCCTGAATAATTTTCTGCTGAATCTGTTTGACACTGGAGAAAGCATTCATCCACCTGCCCTATATTCCTCTGCTAGCTCAGCTGTGCCACTTGATACAGATCACTAATATAATCAACCAGAGTCTTTGCAGAGAGATTTTAGTCTGGTAAATTAGTTATCAAAATAAGGGAAATCGTAGTGAGGCAAAGCTTTCCTACAGTCAAACCTTCCCAAAATAGCCATTTTCCCCTCAGAGAACCCATACGTACTACATCATTATCTGACCTGCTCACCACTGTCCCACGAGCATCCTTTCTGCTCCAGTTCAGCTTGCATCATTCTGCCTCACAGATACCTGCCACATTTTATCTGAGGTCTGTCCAGGCACAGGTATGTCTGTATCTCAAGATACTCAGCTCTACACATATGCTCACTAGGAAAAGGATCTGCTTTCATGAGGAATTGCAGCCCAGGGACAATCTTTTTGCTGTGTGTTCGCTGCCGTGCATGGTGGGGGTCAGTCCTTCAGTGTTTTGGGTGGGGAATACTTGGGATTGTCAATATTTGAGGATCAGATTATGATTATTAATATGAAAGAGAAGCCTGTGGCTTTTTACATCCCTTACATTCAAGAAAAATTGCCATTGGGATCAGTGTAACTCAGGGACACAGGCGGAGAAAAGGGAAGAGCCCTAAATATTTGTATGGGGATGGAAAAAAGCTGAAGTTTTACACTTACTCCTTCCACCATTTCAACCTTTTTGGAAAGGTTGAAACCTTCTAATTATAGCAAATCCAAAATGCAAATGTTCTGAGAGCCTTTCTGTCTCTGTGCATATGCTGATAATACGTGCTGTGCTCTCATCTCTGTCAGGGATTTAAACAGATTTTTGCTTGATGCCCAGAAAGCTTTTATATGCTATTAGAGCTTGTGCAGTTCTTTCAGCATGACACTGCTCGGCACTCGAGTCTGTGCACACTACAGATTTTTGTCTCCTCTGTAGCTGCAAATCTGCAAGCAGCCACGCCAGCTTTCTGGAAGCAGGGAGAGAACATAAAAGCTTTGCTTAATTTAATTTAGAGAAATACTCTGGTGTGTTTATGCAACCAGAATGAGAAACAGGCAGATCAAAACACCAGTTTTCTGCTCTCTTTCCTCTGCTCCCTTCTCAAAAGGAGAAGGAAAAAAGGCACCTTCCCTTTGAGCCATTCTCTAAAGCAGCGTCAGACAGAGCAGAGGGCAATGTGTGAGGAAAACCTCCCTTCCCAACACTGACAGTCTCATGAAAAGGCAGGTGCCTCTGACTGCAGGTGCTGCAGGAGTCTTCTCTGGGAACAGACCTTCTTCTCCTCTAGTCTGGGGTTATGGTCTAATCCTCTCCACTTTTCGACAAGACTCTAAGAAAGGATGAATTGTTACCACTTGTCACTCTGTCAGCGTGTTTTGTTGTTTCACACATCTCTGAAAATCACACCACAACAGACAGCAAAAACTTCATTAATTACATAAGAGCAGGGAAGTACAGTCAGCTTGCTTCAGCAAGAAAGTGCAATATATTTGTCCATGCTGATAAGCAACAGAGTTAAATACATCTCATCCCATGAAAGAATACACACCCCTTTCCACATGCTTTCCACATGCATCAAGAAATCTGGTACACAGTGCTACAGTTCTCAGTCAGGCAATTTCTGAGCACTCATTTCTTGACTTCTTAGATAAAATTAAGAAGAAAAATATTTTAAATTCATGTCATTCTTTCTGAGGGCTCTGCACAGCCTTCACCCCAGTCTCCTTGCTTGGTTGTGCTTCAGAAAGAGAGACAGTGGTGCCCAACCAGGTAGTAAGTGACATGGCGTGGGATTTCTCCAACCTGGCACGGCATGGTGGGGGGGCTCACTCCTGGCCAGCCTACCAAAGGTCATAAAGGGCATCCCCCAAGCCAAACCTCAATGACTTTGGTACCAATCTGCATTTATTTTAAGAAGGTTATTTAAGAACAACTGACTTTGTCTGAAGAAGGAGATGCCTAACCCCACCTCTCGAGAAGCTGTTGAGCAAATAGAAAAAGATTGTCTATGCTGTCATTGGTGCTACCATTTGAACAAAGATTCCTCTAGGAGCTTATGTTGAAAAGTCAAATTGTAACCATGATCTAATGGCTTGTCACCCACCTCACAGTAATTATTTTTGTGAGGAAGTATGTGATTTGTTTGCAAACCTCAGCCTTCATTTAAAAAATATGAAGTCCTTGTGAATTGGAGGTCAGCCCAGAAGTCAGTGGCAAGTAGATACAGTCCAGGGTAGCAGTACTTACATTTTTTTCCATATAAATGCAGGGAAATATTAAGAAGCTACAGTAAGAATTTAAGTCTTGATTTTGAAATGCCTGGCATTTGCAGCCCTTCATTTTACAGATGACTCCAGCTCCTCAGCTACCAGCAGTCCAAGTTTCTTTGTCCCTGTATCATCCCTGTGCTGCACAGCCTAAAAATGAGCAGAACTCCTGGACTCACAGCACAGGGAAGGTAGAGCAGCTGTAACTAGCACAGGCTTCATCAGTTTTGAAACCTGCAATGTCAGCTTTTTTCCCCTCATCTGCTCTGATTGTTTTTCCATAAAAACCTCCAACTAATTAAGGAAACAAGTGTCCATCACTGAATGAAGTAAGACTAGTCCTCTATCTGTTCAGCTCAAGACATGAGGCCTCAGTACAGTATTTTCTCCTCCTCCTATTCACCAGAAAATCAAAAAGGGCTCTATTTGGAGTCTGGGCAGGCATATAATCAAAACCTTCACCGGCACCAGAAAGATTCATTAGTTAGCAGTCGCTACGTATTGGTCTCTGTCAGGATGAGGGAGAGAAAAAGGAAAAATAAGGTTTTGGTGGACTAAGCTACATTAGTCGGCAGAAAAATAAATTTCTGAGAATAAAGAGGAACTGTCAACATTCAAGGGACAATCTGAGTTTCAGAAAACACAGGAATGGTGGAAGAGCAAGCTTATCAGGTTATTTCAAGTGAGTGATTTATAATACTTATATCTGATTATAGTACCTCTTTCAAACACATTTTTTTTAAAAAAGCTAATACAAAATTACATTTCAAATGGTGATAATTCGCATCATTAATACCGACACAATAAATAAATAAGGGTGACTTTTTCTTTTTGTATCTGACCATTGTTGCATTGCTGCCTTTGGATCCTATGTGGAATCAGAGGGGAAATCGTCCTTGGTACTCAGTCCTGTTCACAGCTTGAAAAAACATATTGCAATGCTATCCTGTATTATTAGTTGCAATCAGATTACGGTTTTCCTCCTAATGCAGTTTCACATGGTTTGCAAATGCAAAAAAGTATCATTTAATACATT